GAAAGAAGCAGAGCTTTATATCTTACCTTGCATGATAAATTCACATTTAAACTCACATAAATTGCTTATAAAGACAACATTTAAAAATTTCATGTCGGGGGTTTTATATATTTTATTAAAAACTTTTTTCTTTTTGCACCTTTTTTCATGTTGTTCCAAAATGTGGTATTAATCAAGTGATGAAGACATTCCATGTTTTCCTTGAATTGATGACAGTAATCTTGGAAAGATAGGGAGGTTGTTTGCATCTTGGAGTATTATAGAAACAAGATCTAAAAGGAATTTGTATTCAGGTTTCAAGTCGTCTTTTCAATGTTAATTTCTGACTTGAATGTGTGTGGTAAAATAAAGTTTTTTTTCCTTGAAACTGGCCATCTCTCTCCAGCTGCTTTTGAACAATATGTTCCCTCCTTGATGACTTTCTTACATAACCCAGTTAAAGAGTGAGATAGAGTTAATTAAAAAAACCTGATTTAAAGATCGCTTGGATCTGAGACCAAACACAAAAGCTGCAAACCACAGCAAGAAAACTTAACCTAGAAATCTGGAAATTTCATACTTTTTATCTTTGAATCCGTATGCTACCAGAGCAAATAAATCCAAAAATACCGCTACCAAAAATATTGATGGTGAAGATCAATATTCTGCCAGTCCGAACACACCAGCCTGCAGAACTGAGTCAGAACCAGCATAGATAGTTCAGCTTTTCTCATCTGGACTTTAAAATCAGTAATCAGAGACTTCCTGCTTCGGCTACAGGAATGGAAAGACAGCATTGATCACAGATCACATGACAGAGACTTCCTTCAGAAGTAGTTAGGAGATCGAGTGCCATCTGGTGGTAAAACAGCATATTACACACTTCAATGTGTAATTAAAAAATCTAAATTACACATTGAAGTGTGTAATATGCTGTTTCAACAAAATGCTGAAACTCTGGTTTCAGCATTTTGTGGAAGAGTTTAAGATTAAACTCTTCCATTTGAGCCCAGTGGGATTATTAGTAAAAGATTTGAGACCATCAGTTGTAAGTGCGCTGTTAAAACAATAAGGGTACCACAATTAAAAAAAAAAATTATATATATAATACTGGCACCCTGTGCATGGTACAACCCCCCTCTCACTGATAAGCCCCTGGAAGTGCGTACCAGCCAGCACAGTTATGTGCAGATTAAATAAATCAGATACCGTCTCATAATATGGAAACATAAAGTGGGTGAAAGGGTTGTTTGTTTGTTCAAACAGCCATAACGCAGGACCCCTGATCCATCTTTATATTTATTTAAGTAGTATTATTATTTCAATATTATGATGGAAGCTGATACCATTATCAGATTTATTATTGAATGTCTCACATGTATGAATATTTTTTTGAAACTTTTTAATTTTTTAAATGTGACACCTATTGCTTTTGTGCCCCACATGCTATTATGCCTTTAGATCAGTGTTTCTCAACTATTTTCTGTCATGCCCCCCCCTAGGGATTTTAAGTTTTTTTTCTCTCCCACCACCACCACCTCAGTGCCTTTCCCTCCATCCATCCATCCATTTTCTGATCACCTTCTCCCTAACGGGGTCGGGAGGTGCTGGTACCTATCTCCAGCTCCGTTCTGGGCGAGAGGCAGGGTCAGACAAAAACAGGACAAACAACCATGCACACACACTCACACCTAGGGAGAATTTGGGAAGGCCAATTTACCTGACAGTCATGTTTTTGGACTGTGGGAGGAAGCTGGAGAACCCGGAGAGAACCCACGGAGAACATGCAAACTCCGTGCAGAAAGACCCCGAGCCGGGAATCGAACCCAAGGCAACAGCGCTACCCACTGCGCCACTGTGCAGCCCTGCCTTTCCCTCCCCAGAATTTAAATACTGTTGCAAATCTGATAATATTTCACAATTTGTCTCTGTAACTAAGTAGCAAGCCTCTATTCAAGGACTTCAAACATGCCTGTTGCTGAGATTATCTGGATATGAGTTGAACTGCTCCCCAAAGCCTCACTCTGTAATTAGCAACACAGATTACGGGAAGGGAGTAGTTTGATTACATCTTATTTGGAATTTATTTTGAATCTAAAATTGATTATTGATTCGATGAAGGTGCTTAGCCCTGCTTAAAAGCTTACTTAATAAAGATACATTAAAAAATCTAAAATGAGTTGTGGACAATCAAATGATGTGGGTCATTTTCTGAGAAAAGTTCTTTTAATTTATGTAAAAATAAATGATGGGTAGTTCTAAAATTATGGAGGTTTTCACCTTAGCTGATTTTAAACAACACCATACTTATGTTAAACTACTAAAAATACTCGAGCCTAATAACAAGTGCTTGTTGTTAATTAGAGAGAAGAACTGCTATTAATAGGTGTGGCTTTTGCAGTGATGAAACAAGAGGGCAAGATTAAGTGCTGATTTATTTTGCCTACTTATGTTTAACTGAAGTTTATTGTTACACTTTTTTTGCTTTTGATTCTGTTTAAAGATTTCCTTTCTGCTATGGTTATTTCATTACCAAATAATGAAATGAACACATTTTATTACATTACAATTCATTACAATTCTTCAATAAATGGAGGGTTTGTGGTGGAGGACTGTGACATAAACTTTGAGCTTTAAGAAGTAAAAACTTTGTGGTGTGGATTCACTTCGAATGAGAAACTCTAGTGTTATTTTGGAACTATGTGCAAAACGATCTGATAATTGGACACTAACCGGAACGAGGAAATGAAGCTCAACAGCTGTGAAACTTGTTTCTTGGACTTATTTCTCTCTCATCTGAATAAGTTCAGCAGGTGGAGGATTGACAACGTTATTGTTTAAAAACTTCCTTGTACTTTTTGGTTTCACTTTCAGCCTTAGTGAGAATCTTTAAAATGCTGTTATGGCATTTTGAATAAACACAATGACAAAATGCATTTGGTTGTTCATGTTTGTTCTTGATTGACTTAGTACCTCATATTAAATAGGATTATTAATAATGTTCACAAAATAAAATGGTCATGTCCTCAGTCTTTCAGCATACACAGTTTTTGTTTTTATACAAATGAACCAATTCTCCCATAGACATATTTTCTTGTGAGACTTTGAACTTTTATAAACAGGGACCTTTGATTCTTTGCTACTATCTACCAATTACTTTGATAAAATTCTTAAGTTTTCATTGGGATCTTTATACCTTTCTAAATAGTCACGTTTGTGCTTTGTTCTTATCTGAGAATTTAGGTGTTTTGCATAGCGCATGGAGCAATATTTGTGTATTTGTTCCTTTAAGAAACTTATTTTTGTTTCATGTTTTTAAATCTTTATTCACAGTTTGAAGATTAAGTGCTGATTTATTTTGCCTACTTATGTTTAACTGAAGTTTATTGTTACACTTTTTTTGCTTTTGATTCTGTTTAAAGTTTTCCTTTCTGCTATGGTTATTTCATTACCAAATAATGAAATGAACACATTTTATTACATTAAAATTCATTACAATTCTTCAATAAATGGAGGGTTTGTGGTGGAGGACTGTGACATAAACTTTGAGCTTTAAGAAGTAAAAACTTTGTGGTGTGGATTCACTTCGAATGAGAAACTAGTGTTATTTTGGAACTATGTGCAAAACGATCTGATAATTGGACACTAACCGGAACGAGGAAATGAAGCTCAACAGCTGTGAAACTTGTTTCTTGGACTTATTTCTCTCTCATCTGAATAAGTTCAGCAGGTGGAGGATTGACAACTTTATTGTTTAAAAACTTCCTTGTACATTTTGGTTTCACTTTCAGCCTTAGTGAGAATTGCTTGCGTTTCCTCGAAAAACCTTTTGTGTTCTCTTGCAGTAATGTTCTGATTACTTCGTGCAGCATATTGTAAGCCTTTCTTATGGTGCCCTTTCTACTTTCTGTTTTAATATAGCCTAAGGCTATCGTGAGGTTTTTTCATGTATTATTCCGTTGTAAAATATATTAAGTTTATACTAAGTCTTTTTTTAAGATAGAAATGGACCCTAAGTAGGAAAGAAAGAAAAAATACATCCAAACTATGTAGTCTGTTTCAGAGTTATTATCCCAGGTAATCAGTCATCTGACAGATTTTATCTCTTTTGTGTTTGTAGTCTGAATGGTTTAAAGGGTTGTTTTCAGTGCAGTTCCGTCTCAGCCTTACACAAAAAGACATAAAATGACTTATTGCGAGCGAACGCAAAAGTTTTGCAAGGTCACGCAAAAGAAAAATATGTTCCCATATCCCCCGGGGTGCTCCCTACAACAATGACACCTTCTGATCAATTATGCTTTTATTTTGAAGAACGACCTATTTCTTTTTCATGTGCAGAGATGGTAACAAGTCAGTGTTTTGCCAGTTTCAAGTAAGTCTCCAGTCTTATCCTGATGTCCTGAGTCAAGTTTCTTGTACAAGTCAAGTCTCAAATCAAGACGGGCAAAGGCCGAGTCAAGTCCCAAGTCCTAAACTTGAGTCTTCCAGTGATGAGGATAAGATGAGGAAAGCAAAACTGCTGTATTCTACAACATGAAGATGGCTAACATCAACTGTCTCATAGCAAAAGAAAAGAATTACGTACAGTTCTTTGTACAACTTGAATTGTCAAACAAAGTTATACGTTATATTTACATCTGAGATCCTCTTCTTGCAGCTTTTGCATGTTGCCCTCTGTTTTTTGTTGGATGCTTCGTAATTGATGCACCCAAAGAAAATTTGTCACGTTTTTGCTTTAAGTGTTTTATTTTTCTTGCTTTTTTTTTTTTTTTCAATCTTGATCATTTGATTGGTGTTGGAAAACAGAGGGACAGTCTGTGTGTGTTAATACGGAATGAGTAAAATGAATTAATGGGGCCCACTTGATAATTAATTTTGGATAAAACATCAAGTGTTCTCAAGTAAACAGGCTCAAGTCCAATTCAAATCTGAAGTGACTGAGTCAAAGCCATGTGACTTGAGTCTCCACCTCTAGCTGTGTGATATGCTGCACCTCCTTGCTAACCAAGCACAATTAGATAGTGTAAGATCCCGAAGGAACCAGACGCAAAGGTTTAAAATAGCACACTTGGAAACAAGAATGAGGTAAAAATATTAACTATGGTGATTTGTGATAAGAAATATTACTTGTTTATTTAAGAAGCAGTAGAACACAGTTGTTTGTGTATTTGCTTAATGTTAACATGTTTTATTTTATATGAGAGATAGAATATCTTGTTGTATACTTGGTTTAAAAGGCTCTTGAGGATATTTATTTATATTCTTAATGATTAAGCCTTGAAAATGATTTTTACTAAACATGTCCAACAATGCTACATCATTTCATTTTATGCTACAGTCTTCACGGTGTCTATGAAAAGAAGAGACCAGATTAAACTGCACCCATTTGGAAGTCCCTGCATCTGGCTGTATCACTACAACTGGCTGCTGCAGCATTTGATGTTGTACTCTACAGAATGAGGTAGAATGAACATGTTAACAATAACTAAAAAATGGTTCCAGTGAAACCCCATCTTTAAGAAACATTTTTGTTTAACTTAAAAACAAAGATGTTTGCAACTTTGTTTGGCTAGATGAGTTTTGTTATGTTTGTCATATTCACAGTTGAGACAGTTGTGAAAAACACACTTTTTATGTTTATGTCATGATTTGCAAACATTGTAAAGTTTTCGCAATAGTGGAGAAACTTATTTTAGTCATGAGAAACTGAAGCTACTCAAAAACATCAACTTGTTTTTGCTTGATATATTATTCCTGGTAAACTAACAGAGTATAAATAATAATTTCAATTTCACCTTTAAATAATTTAAGAAAATGCAAGTTAGCATTGTGCTGGACTATAAAGCTCTAGATTACTCTGCCTTACAAAAACACAAGTAACAGAGTACATTGTCTTCTTATTCTCTGCTGTTATTTCCCATCCTGTCAGTTTTGGTAAATTACCATCTGGTAGGTTTGCAGTTGTCTTACTTTCCATATGACGCACTCAAAAGACTGTGTTAGATGTAATGTCAAAAGTACAAACACCTTGTTCTTTTAATATATGAAAGTACTTGTTATTTACTTGTTTGCACAGAAAACTGTTTGTACAACATCAAAGTATTCATAGTACTTTGATGTAGTAAGAGTAAAAGGTGAATTTATACTTAAACACACATACACTATTATAGCAAAATCATTTGACAACCATTTGGTGTCCAAAGACAATTACTTTGTTGAGTTCAGTAGAAAGTAAAAGCTGAATGAATGTGCAAATTTATCCATTTTAGAACAGGGCAACCTGAAATGTCTTCTAAACAGTGAACCTCCTCAGACAGGATGTGAGAAGATTCTGTTGTAATTCATTTTAAAGCCTAACACTGGATATGTGTAAAATTGTCACTGAAAAAGCATCTGCAAATGTTGTCCAGTAATCTTAGAATAAGCATTAAGTTGTCTTAAAATCCCACTCTTTAGTTAAATAAAGAAAATATATAAATATATTATCAAATATATAAGTAACAAAACAATTCATACAGAATCAACTCTTCAATTATGTTATAAAAGTTCAAAGTCTCACAAGAAAATATGTCTATGGGAGAATTGATTAATTTGTATAAAATAAAAACTGTGTATGCTGAAAGACTGAGGACATGACCATTTTATTTTGTGAACATTATTAATAATCCTATTTAATATGAGGTACTAAGTCAATCAAGAACAAACATGAACAACCAAATGCATTTTGTCATTGTGTTTATTCAAAATGCCATAACAGCATTTTAAAGATTCTCACTAAGGCTGAAAGTGAAACCAAAAAGTACAAGGAAGTTTTTAAACAATAAAGTTGTCAATCCTCCACCTGCTGAACTTATTCAGATGAGAGAGAAATAAGTCCAAGAAACAAGTTTCACAGATGTTGAGCTTCATTTCCTTGTTTCTGTTAGTAATTATCAGATCGTTTTGCACATATAATAACACTAGAGTTCCTCATTTGAAGTGAATCAACATCATAAGGTTTTCACACCTTAAAGATCAAGCTCAAAGCTCATTTCATAGTCCTCCAATTCCTCAATAAATTCCTCAATTTATCCAGGAATTATAAAGAAATGTTTTGTTCATTTTATTATTTTGGTAATGAAATGACACAACAGAATGGAAAACTTTAAACAGAATCAAAAGCAAAAAAAAGTGTAACAAAAAACTTCTGTAAATCATGAGAAGGCAAAGTAAAACAGCACTTAATCTTCAAACTGTGAATAAAGATTTAAAAAGACAAAACAAAAATATGTTTCTTAAAAGAGCAAATGCATACACATGAATACTGCCCCATGGGCTATGCAAAACACCTACATTCTCAAACAAGAACTAAGCACAAACGTGAATGCTAAGAAAGGTACAAAGATCCCCATTAAAACTTAATAATTACTTTGATAAAATTCTGAAGTATTTTTACAGAATCAAAAGTTCTTGTTTTAAAAGGTCAAAAAAATAAATATTTTGATCCGAGTATGAGAACTTTTGTAAGGCACTGTATATCTAGATACACATTAATATAGTGTGTTCTCTTTATTGCCTTTCCATGAATACTGTTGTTTATTTGTTGCTTATTTAGTTTATTTATTGATTTAATCAAGTATAAAATATTTCATTTCTGTTTTCAAATGTGATTTTTTTTTCTTTCCTCGTAGGACAGCTTGAGTCTGCATAAAATTTTTGTCGTGAGTCCTCCATAAATGTTTCCAAGATGGGAAACACATCACCAAAGGAAAGTAACATGGGCGACTCCCTGAAGTGCTGCAAGTGTTACAAAGTATTGCCTCCCTGTATGACCTTTGATGATTTCTACAATGATATTGTCCATGGGCGAAATGTCTACGTCTACAATAGAGGACAATATTACAAACCAGTTGGCTATGATGATCATTATGAGTGTGGAAACTGCTTCCATGAGCCAATCAGGGAAGAACAAAGGAGAGAAGAGGAAAGAAGGAGAGAAGAGGAAAGAAGGAGAGAAGAGGAAAGAAGGAGAGAGGAGAGGAAAAAAAGAAAAGAAGAAGAGTTGAATCGAAACTCCAAACATCCCTCGAATAAGCTGAAAAGCAGCATGAGAAACAGCTAAATGAATTGTCAGAAGAAAAAAGAGACCAGGCAAAATGCTCTAATTAGGCCATTGATCAGTTCAAAAACGACACTCACAGTGGCAAAGATGAGTGGCAAATTAAAAAATCTAAATTACACATTGAAGTGTGTAATATGCTGTTTCAACAAAATGCTGAAACTCTGGTTTCAGCATTTTGTGGAATAGTTTAAGATTAAACTCTTCCATTTGAGCCCAGTGGGAGTATTAGTAAAAGATTTGAGACCATCAGTTGTAAGTGCGCTGTTAAAACAATAAGGGTACCACAATTAAAAAAAAAATTATATATATAATACTGGCACCCTGTGCATGGTACAACCCCCCTCTCACTGATAAGCCCTGGAAGTGCGTACCAGCCAGCACAGTTATGTGCAGATTAAATAAATCAGATACCGTCTCATAATATGGAAACATAAGTGGGTGAAAGGGTTGTTTGTTTGTTCAAACAGCCATAACGCAGGACCCTGATCCATCTTTATATTTATTTAAGTAGTATTATTATTTCAATATTATGATGGAAGCTGATACCATTATCAGATTTATTATTGAATGTCTCACATGTATGAATATTTTTTGAAACTTTTTAATTTTTTAAATGTGACACCTATTGCTTTTGTGCCCCACATGCTATTATGCCTTTAGATCAGTGTTTCTCACTATTTTCTGTCATGCCCCCCCCCTAGGGATTTTAAGTTTTTTTTTCTCTCCCACCACCACCACCTCAGTGCCTTTCCCTCCATCCATCCATCCATTTCTGATCACCCTTCTCCCTAACGGGGTCGGGAGGTGCTGGTACCTATCTCCAGCTCCGTTCTGGGCGAGAGGCAGGTCAGACAAAAACAGGACAAACAACCATGCACACACACACTCACACCTAGGGAGAATTTGGGAAGGCCAATTTACCTGACAGTCATGTTTTTGGACTGTGGGAGGAAGCTGGAGAACCCGGAGAGAACCCACGGAGAACATGCAAACTCCGTGCAGAAAAACCCCAAGCCGGGAATCGAACCCAAGGCAACAGCGCTACCCACTGCGCCACTGTGCAGCCCTGCCTTTCCCTCCCCAGAATTTAAATACTGTTGCAAATCTGATAATATTTCACAATTTGTCTCTGTAACTAAGTAGCAAGCCTCTATTCAAGGACTTCAAACATGCCTGTTGCTGAGATCACTTACTATCTGGATATGAGTTGAACTGCTCCCAAAGCCTCACTCTGTAATTAGCAACACAGATTACGGGAAGGGAGTAGTTTGATTACATCTTATTTGGAATTTATTTTGAATCTAAAATTGATTATTGATTCGATGAAGGTGCTTAGCCCTGCTCAAAAGCTTACTTAATAAAGATACATTAAAAAATCTAAAATGAGTTGTGGACAATCAAATGATGTGGGTCATTTTCTGAGAAAAGTTCTTTTAATTTATGTAAAAATAAATGATGGGTAGTTCTAAAATTATGGAGGTTTTCACCTTAGCTGATTTTAAACAACACATACTTATGTTAAACTACTAAAATACTCGAGCCTAATAACAAGTGCTTGTTGTTAATTAGAGTAAAGAACTGCTATTAATAGGTGTGGCTTTTGCAGTGATGAAACAAGAGGGCAACTCAGTTGATTGCTTCATTAGCTGGTGCCCGCATTGTAGGTAGTTATTGGCTTGATGAGTCCCTCTTGATACCAGTTTAATTAGTAATCCCAATATCCAAATCATAGAGTAAATACAGTGAGACTGCAGGGGTTTGGCGGTTTTTCTGACCAGTTTAGAATTTTCACAAAAGTAAAATGATCGTTTTTGTGGCGCATCTGTATCTTTTTTTAAGGGATATATGTAAACGTTGCCATAACGACCAGAATCAAAGTGCTTCAGGCAGTGGTCAAGACCAAACTTATTTTTGTCAACAGCTGTCAATGTTTTTTTTTTAATCTTTATTCACAGTTTGAAGATTAGGTGCTGATTTATTTTGTCTACCAGCACTTATGCTTTACTGAAGTCTTTTGTAGCGTTTTTTTTTTTTTTTTTTTTTTTGCTTTGATTCTGTTTAAAGTTTTCCTTTCTGCTATGGTTATTTCATTACCAAATAATGAAATGAACACATTTTATTACATTACAATTCATTACAATTCTTCAATAAATGGAGGGTTTGTGGTGGAGGACTGTGAAATAAACTTTGAGCTTTAAGAAGTAAAAACTTTGTGGTGTGGATTCACTTCGAATGAGAAACTCTAGTGTTATTTTGGAACTATGTGCAAAACGATCTGATAATTGGACACTAACCGGAACGAGGAAATGAAGCTCAACAGCTGTGAAACTTGTTTCTTGGACTTATTTCTCTCTCATCTGAATAAGTTCAGCAGGTGGAGGATTGACAACGTTATTGTTTAAAAACTTCCTTGTACTTTTTGGTTTCACTTTCAGCCTTAGTGAGAATCTTTAAAATGCTGTTATGGCATTTTGAATAAACACAATGACAAAATGCATTTGGTTGTTCATGTTTGTTCTTGATTGACTTAGTACCTCATATTAAATAGGATTATTAATAATGTTCACAAAATAAAATGGTCATGTCCTCAGTCTTTCAGCATACACAGTTTTTGTTTTTATACAATGAACCAATTCTCCCATAGACATTTTCTTGTGAGACTTTGAACTTTTATAACAAGGACCTTTGATTCTTTGCTACTATCTACCAATTACTTTGATAAAATTCTTAAGTTTTCATTGGGATCTTTATACCTTTCTAAATAGTCACGTTTGTGCTTTGTTCTTATCTGAGAATTTAGGTGTTTTGCATAGCGCATGGAGCAATATTTGTGTATTTGTTCCTTTAAGAAACTTATTTTTGTTTCATGTTTTTAAATCTTTATTCACAGTTTGAAGATTAAGTGCTGATTTATTTTGCCTACTTATGTTTAACTGAAGTTTATTGTTACACTTTTTTGCTTTTGATTCTGTTTAAAGTTTTCCTTTCTGCTATAGTTATTTCATTACCAAATAATGAAATGAACACATTTTATTACATTACAATTCATTACAATTCCTCAATAAATGGAGGGTTTGTGGTGGAGGACTGTGACATAAACTTTGAGCTTTAAGAAGTAAAAACTTTGTGGTGTGGATTCACTTCGAATGAGAAACTAGTGTTATTTTGGAACTATGTGCAAAACGATCTGATAATTGGACACTAACCGGAACGAGGAAATGAAGCTCAACAGCTGTGAAACTTGTTTCTTGGACTTATTTCTCTCTCATCTGAATAAGTTCAGCAGGTGGAGGATTGACAACTTTATTGTTTAAAAACTTCCTTGTACTTTTTGGTTTCACTTTCAGCCTTAGTGAGAATTGCTTGCGTTTTCTCGAAAACCTTTTGTGTTCTCTTGCAGTAATGTTCTGATTACTTCGTGCAGCATATTGTAAGCCTTTCTTATGGTGCCCTTTCTACTTTCTGTTTTAATATAGCCTAAGGCTATCGTGAGGTTTTTTCATGTATTATTCCGTTGTAAAATATATTAAGTTTATACTAAGTCTTTTTTTAAGATAGAAATGGACCCTAAGTAGGAAAGAAAGAAAAAATACATCCAAACTATGTAGTCTGTTTCAGAGTTATTATCCCAGGTAATCAGTCATCTGACAGATTTTATCTCTTTTGTGTTTGTAGTCTGAATGGTTTAAAGGGTTGTTTTCAGTGCAGTTCCGTCTCAGCCTTACACAAAAAGACATAAAATGACTTATTGCGAGCGAACGCAAAAGTTTTGCAAGGTCACGCAAAAGAAAAATATGTTCCCATATCCCCCCGGGGTGCTCCCTACAACAATGACACCTTCTGATCAATTATGCTTTTATTTTGAAGAACGACCTATTTCTTTTTCATGTGCAGAGATGGTAACAAGTCAGTGTTTGCCAGTTTCAAGTAAGTCTCCAGTCTTTATCCTGATGTCCTGAGTCAAGTTTCTTGTACAAGTCAAGTCTCAAATCAAGACGGGCAAAGGCCGAGTCAAGTCCCAAGTCCTAAACTTGAGTCTTCCAGTGATGAGGATAAGATGAGGAAAGCAAAACTGCTGTATTCTACAACATGAAGATGGCTAACATCAACTGTCTCATAGCAAAAGAAAAGAATTACGTACAGTTCTTTGTACAACTTGAATTGTCAAACAAAGTTATACGTCATATTTACATCTGAGATCCTCTTCTTGCAGCTTTTGCATGTTGCCCTCTGTTTTTTGTTGGATGCTTCGTAATTGATGCACGAAAGAAAATTTGTCACGTTTTTGCTTTAAGTGTTTTATTTTTCTTGCTTTTTTTTTTTTCAATCTTGATCATTTGATTGGTGTTGGAAAACAGAGGGACAGTCTGTGTGTGTTAATACGGAATGAGTAAAATGAATTAATGGGGCCCACTTGATAATTAATTTTGGATAAAACATCAAGTGTTCTCAAGTAAACAGGCTCAAGTCCAATTCAAATCTGAAGTGACTGAGTCAAAGCCATGTGACTTGAGTCTCCACCTCTAGCTGTGTGATATGCTGCACCTCCTTGCTAACCAAGCACAATTAGACAGTGTAAGATCCCGAAGGAACCAGACGCAAAGGTTTAAAATAGCACACTTGGAAACAAGAATGAGGTATAAATATTAACTATGGTGATTTGTGATAAGAAATATTACTTGTTTATTTAAGAAGCAGTAGAACACAGTTGTTTGTGTATTTGCTTAATGTTAACATGTTTTATTTTATATGAGATAGAATATCTTGTTGTATACTTGGTTTAAAAGGCTCTTGAGGATATTTATTTATATTTCTTAATGATTAAGCCTTGAAAATGATTTTTACTAAACATGTCCAACAATGCTACATCATTTCATTTTATGCTACAGTCTTCACGGTGTCTATGAAAGAAGAGACCAGATTAAACTGCACCCATTTGGAAGTCCCTGCATCTGGCTGTATCACTA